ACAACGAGTATCCAACCTCACGACGCCACTGCTGCAACCGATATCACTGCGGATTCCTCGTCCGACGCGCATTATGGCTGGCTGACTAATTGGGTGTCTAATCAGTGCGTGGCAACGTAGTTTCAAGATTCTAAGTGAGTAGAAAATTACAATGAGTTAGTTCATCTTTGAACAGGTTCCTTGCTGGTTTCCACATCATTTCATAAGGAATGGCAGTACCAGAGTAAGTGGTGAATCATATCTCCGAGAAACCAAAGGAATGAAAAACCTCTATCAATGTGGACAATGAGTTGTAGTTCGACTGTTAGTTATTTTCCAAGCAGTTTCACCAGTGAATACTCTAACATTCTGATCGCACCGGCAACGGCGATTCGGCCACTCAGTCCCGTTTTACGGCATCCGCGGATTTTCTCGCCGACCCCTTGCATCAGTAAGGAGCATCAACATCAAGGAAGACCACCTGTAGTAGGGACATCAACATCAAGAAAAAATAACACAAACGAATATGAAAAGAAGTTTAGAAGATGTTAGTGTAGGGGTATTGACCTACAGAGAAAAAGTCCTTGTGTATTTTTGGAGAATGAATATCAACAAAAGCAGCTACTTGCAAAGATAGATGTTTGTTGTCACCTGTAAGAGATTGATAACTAGAACTTGATTTATTAGCGTAGGCATGGGGAGAAGTACTAAAACTACCAGGCAGAGAACTAATAGCTTGTACTAGTCAGAGTCGTGCGAATATGCTAATATCAGCATTCGGCTGATCACGTCCTCGAGTAGTAAATAGGAGGCTTTGCTATTTCAGACGGTTAATGACTCGCCACAGATATTTTCTTGTTGAAGTGAAGATATATTTACTTACTAAAAGTTAGAACTGAAGAATAAGTGTCTTCTCATGTTTTCAAGGAATTCAATATCTCTTTTGTCTACGGTCTACCTGAATATAGAAGAACTAGAGTGGTTTTCTTGTGAGAAAAGTATGAATATGTACTTACTACAACTTGAGGACATCACGTATTTGAAAGGTTTTAATAAGTGAGGAAGAACTCCGGCCCAATATGGAATGGCAATATCGGACAGACTTATGAAATATAAAATAATCTAGGAGGATCTAAGTCTTACAGGTTTCAACTCTGGAGATAGTGAATTTATGAAGTCGCGTTAAAAGAAATCATTAGCAGACTTGGGAGCAATGAAGTAAAAGCAGCAATAAGAATAATAGAGGTTCAGGATTTGCGTTGAGTTATAAATCTTCGTGCGACTCTGGATTACAGTTAGTAACGTCACTAGATTTATTAAAGAGTCGGCTGAAGAACTAACTGGACTGATTTTTCGCACAATTAGGTCAGTCAAGATTCGCACAGACAAGCAAAGCGGTCGCATCTACACCAAGAATTCGAGAATGTAAAGATGAGTGCCTAGAAGTAAAGGTCAGCCCACTGCTGTCGTAAGTAGATGTAAAACATTCCTACGAAAGGTCCGCTGTTGTAGTTGCACAGAAAGCTAGTTAGAGTCAACTACCGCAGTGATCGTGGTCAGCACTTCAGATGACATTGCTAATTAATATAGTTGCCCTCAAGTAGTGACGAAAAAAAAAGTTCTATCCGTCTCTTTTGAAGAGTAGCCTCAGACCCAGCGGCAGTAGGTATCCTTCCCGGGGAGAATAGAATTGCAATATCTCGATGACGAATAGTACGCCACTACTAAAGGCTAGAACGCCGCAAACAAGCAACACCCCAACCATGGATCATGCGCGATGAATGTTTATCAAAGTCATTGGGTTCTACAGCAAGTATTGATGCCTGTGCGCTTAAGCGTGAGTGTCTTGATGATAACAAAGCGGCAGACGGGGATGGCATACGCTAATATATTATCTGTGTCTCGAGATTTGTTGGAGGGGGAGAAAGCTTGTACTCTCTGACTTCATTTTGGGTTTGAAAGTCGTAAAACGATGGATGATGACAACTGATCATCGCAGTAGTTGCTGAGCAATGGATCTGAAAAAGAGTCACAAGTGGAAGGTTCGCTTAAAGACGCGAGGTGTATTTATGATGATCTAAGGTGATCTCCCAGTGATCAGTGCTGTGAGGATCTTGGAGAAGGTTTCTTCACCAGTGAAAAAGATCGCGATCCGTTCCATGATGTTGGAGCTTCTTCAAATGAGGAAGTACTCGCTTGTTCAAATCATGATCAAGTAGTATTTGTATGAATTAGAGATCTAGTCATCAACGTCTCTATTGTAGGTACTTGAAGATGTCAAAGTGGCGCTGTTGAAGCTTCTCAACAACCAAAATGGCGGCAGCAAGGACTCCTCTTCCCTCAAAAATGATGCCACGAAGGGGGAGGCCTGGGGCGGCTACTTTTTTGGACAATCTAAGAAGCGTCACGGCAAACCACAACAACCTATACTCGTCAGGGAACATCAAGAATAGTAATGCGGAAGGTACTAGTACAGGAACAAGTATCCTCCTCCAAAAAGCACTTTCTCCAAAGGCGTTCGGAGAAACACGACCCAACGGTCACGAAGTTGCGGAATATTGACAATGGTTTGCTTATGGCGCAAAGGTGAAATAAGAGATGTTGTAGTGTATTGCTTGAGTCATAACATCATCCCGTGCAGAGTATATCGTTCTCAGAAAATAGGTAGAAGTATTTGTAATCATTCTGACCACTAAGATGAATGCAATTATCTTTCGGCTAAAGAATGGTGATACGAACACTGTTGGGGCTGTTTCATCTACTAAAGATGCCAACATGTTGATGAGGATTCTGTCTCGGCTGCTGTATCTTCTTTTTTCTAGTAGGGCATGACCAAGAAACCTAGGCTCTCCTACTCAGTGCTATAGAATAGATCTTGTCATTGTTCGCTTTTACTTCTTGGCGAGAATAGATGAAAGTAATCGTTAACAAAAAGACTTTCGCTAATCAGACCAGAACCATCAAGAGAAGCCCGCTGTGACTTCCGATAGCTTTCGAGGTTGGTTGGGTGCCTATTACCATCTCTCGAAGGTGATCAGCAGCTCTATTCCCGACCAACAACAAACCGGAAAGCGATCCTTTCCCTCCGCCGCACAGCAGGTGGCAAGCTTAAGGCTTCAGCTATAGTTAAATCCATCTGTCATCGGATAGACTTTTGGTGGTAGCAGGAAACAATGATGATTTAGATTTTTCAACTTTCAACATCAATCAATTCCGGAAAAGTCTAACAAGCAGTATTCTTGATAGCGTTTCGTCGGAGGCGTTTTTGGACCACTGCCGAGAAGATAAACACTTCGCACAAGTCATAAACTTGATGGACGCATGTTTGAGAGTGCTTGGCCCTTCGGCTTCCGCTCGGGTGCATTCGCTGACTTACGGCTTGCCTCCACCCTCGTGTCCCATTTTTTTTCTGTGGAAAGTATGTTCTTTTGTCCAATCTTTTTTCTGTGGAAAGTATGTTCTTTTGTCCAATCTTTTTTCCGTGGAAAGTAGAAGTACATGTTTGTATCTTCAAGGTTTTAGATAGTGTATCTTCAACATCTTGATAGCATTTGTACATATTGAACTATCTGCTGAAGTAGATAGCATTCGGATGTGGTTGTAGATTACACTTCCGGTCAAAGATGTAGTACTGGAGGAGATTTATTACGTAGGAATTTCTAATAGACAGAAACTTTACTGAAACTTGCAAAACCAGTGCTTCCAGACTTTCAAGTGCAGAATCTGACCTTCTTCCTTCACGGCTTGGCGCAGATAGTTGAGTTACTACCGACGAAGGGAGAACAGTTATGATGATCTACAGTCTTAAAACGACAAGAGTGGAGCCCAGATCTACTACAGTAAAATTTCTATGTTTTCGCAATAGTTGGTTGATAATTAACCTTTCCTTTTTGTCTCTTTTTCTGGTTTTTGTTTTTTGTAGCTAGGTGCTCCGCCACAAATATTAGCAGTGATCTATTAGTAGTACAGTACTAAAACTAGAAAAGCAAAAACCGAGTCAATTACCTACAAATGTCAAGATCGTCAAAACTCTAATTCCAGCAGAACACATTTGGAGGACTTGCGCGGGACCGGAAATTTCAAATTTCGTTTCCGTTTGGGCACAATGTGCGCGAGAGCGGCTTTTGGAGATGAATTTGCAGGAATTAGCCAAATTTGGACATGGCTACTCTCGCTTAGTGCAGGCTGAGTCGAACTTGCGTGCGAGTGCAGTTTCGCGAGTGGTGTCGTTTGGGAGTGAGAAATCGACGAGAAGTACTGGAAAACACAAAGCAGGAGTATACTTTGTCAACCACATAAGCGGCGTTTCGGAGCGAGAATTCCTTGTCGCATGGTGCAAACAGTTTGCGGCTGTATTGAGTGCGCAGCGTCTTTGTACTAGGAGCAGGTCCAATGTATTCTTGGAAACGGAATCGAGAACATTCGGCGCGTCTAGTCCACACTCGGAAGTGGTCTCTCCCCGCTCAGCCACACCAATTCTTGACACTAGTATTGCATCAGCGAAAGCACCAGTCGACACTATTGCCCTGGCTAAAGCGGTCCAGAGTCTTGGGGCTTGTGCTACTTGCGGTGCGCTCTCCTCTATGGATTCGAAGGAGTTGCGTGTCGTCTCGCAGTTAGCGTCTGAGTTGGAAAGCGCCTTGGTGGATGAAGATCATGAAGTGGGGTCAAAATCACTGCTCTCGATTATACCCGGGCCACAGTTTGTTGGTATTCTCTTCGGACTCGGGAGACTCGAGGCTCAGTTAGAAGGGCATGTTTACTCGTTGCGGGACGAAACCATTCGATCGTGGCTTGAGGAATATATTAGACGGATGGATGAAAACGAAAGGGGACTAGACCCAGTCTTGTCGCAGGCGCAGCACTTGTGCAATGCCGTGTTTGCAGTTGGGAAAGCACTAGGAGCTCGAACAGCCAAAAGTTAAGGTCAACATTTAGTGTCCATCTTTCTCGGGGTCTTGGTACCCTTTTCCCTTGTTTTTTCATGGGATACAAGGTGAAAGGGGCCAACAAGACGAGGGAACCGAGATGCATCCAAGCACACGCTAAAAAGAGAAACAAGCGGAATATAGTCAGAGTGCAACTGTTACTGTAGTGGATGAGGAAGGACAAGTGGAAGATGAAAATGATTACGAGGATGACACCAGAGGAAGGGACAGGAAGGAGTTAGATTTTCGGCAGTCCAAAGATACATCCTCTTCCTCTGAGGATCCGTCGTCGAGCAATCTCATCAAACTGAGAACTCTCGTATCAGCATTCGCACGGGAATGGCAGGCTGTGGCGCTAGGCTCAACATCGATAGTAGTTTCATCTGAATCGAAAAAAGAGCAGGAAGTGTTCAGAAAGTACTCAATCCGCGAAATGAACAATGCTCTCTACGGTTTGGCACAGTGTGTTGACTACATTCGAACGGAAGCTGGTACCAGTATGCGGCCGGATTCTTGTCAAGAGGTTGGATCAATTTATGTTCATTCACATTCTAGAACTAGAATGTAGTCGGTATCAGCACCACGTTGGTTTAACACATTCGTTCCATTGATCCAATATTTGATGTTTTGATCCAATTCCGATTCTTCTGATCCCAAGCAAACTATCATGTACTCCTATGCCTATTCTCTTTCTCTTCTAATTCTTTGTCGACCCAGCTTTCCTGAGCGCATGGCAGCAAGCGGCTAGTGAGAAGGTATCTAGCTTTTCGGGACCTGCGTTGTCATCGTCCCTAGCGGGAGTGGCAACCTTGTGGGAAGACCTGGGCGGCATTGGAGGAGCAAGGGAGCTGAATAGAGGAGCTGATAAGAACCAGTATGATTTGGCTTTGAGATGATATGATGACGTAGATATCGTTAGGGAAGTTTTAGGCAAGCTGCCGCATGGATTGGTACCATCATGATGAAAGAAGTAGAGGCTAAGCTGTCCTATAATATTCTACTTGTTATGCTGGCAGCCTTGTATCCTCGACGCCGATTCCATCCATGCTGGCTAGCCCAGACCTCTATCACATCTCCCCTCCGCCCAACGAACCCTCCTTTGTAGATTTTTAGAACTTCACCTCCTTCCACACCTTCACCTCGACAACTTCTCTGTCCTCTTATATAACTTCTCGTGAGGAGCAGCGGCAATCATTGGTGAAGTTTCTGGACGCATGGCGAACAAGATTTTGTGACGCAGATTTCGATGAACGGGGTATTGTCCAAAGTCTAGGCGGAATGCGGAAGCTTTTAGAAACGTTCTTGTCATCCATGCAAAATCCAAATCATATGGTAGCGGAGCCGCTGCACGCTGTCTATCGAGACCTGGAGGCACGAGCAACAGAATGGCTATGTTTTTCACAATCCACTTCTGGCTTAGGGAATGGCCACGATGCAGCAGGAAAGGACGTTCAAAGGGGAAAAGTAATGCCGCATGCAACTACGAGTCACGGACTTCTGCAGACTGTGTACAATCTGGGAGTGATTCAAGAACTCCGTGCTGAGCAGGGGAGGAAGCTTGGTGACGCTACGGTCGTGTCGAGTCTGAGTGATCACAGAGAAGAGGCTTCCGATTCGGGTACAATTTCAGTGCCACATGTTTCACCTGAAATGCTTGAGGCCTGGGAAGCGAAATGTGCTGCTTACATAGATTATACCAAGGGACATAATGATAATTTTTGTCTGTCAGAACCAGAAGCAAGTATCCGTTCGTCTGCTCGTAAGGGACGCCAACGCGAACAACTGTGCGACAGCTGGCTTGGTTGTGTAATACGTGCTTATGTACGATTAGTGTCGAATTGGGGCGAAACGAGTACAAGCGGTCCGGAAACAACAGGTCTACTTTCTGCTCGAAGAAAACCGCGTAAAGAGTCACCTTTTGTCGAAGCGTGGATTGACGCATACACCACTACTTTACGAGGAGAACGTACTCCGAGTCAGCGGCGAAGTTTGTTTCGTGCAGTTTGGTCCTTGGGCAAATTGGCGGAATATACACGCGTTTTCGTGAAAGAACAGAACCACGAATATGATAACTTCGGAGAAGATGATATCATAGTAAACTACGCAGACGATCATCATATAGAGCAGGACAATCATGATCGCTATGCGTCAACAAGAACGTCCTCGTCTTCAAGTTCAAGTGCTGCAACTAACGTGCTGAGACGATCGGACTCAAATTTTGCTGCATCCTGTGTGGAGCAAAAGTTTGTGCAAGCTTGGTTAGAACGTGCTCGCACTGTTGACATGGCTGAGCCTGTGCTAATTGCAGGCATTGTCTACAGCTGGGGCAAACTTGCGACTGCATTAGACTTGGCGTGTCTTTCTGAACTGCGAGCTTTTTTATCGGACAAGTATCTAGCGAAACTCGTGGAATTAGACTGCTCACCAAAAGAGGGTGGTAGTAGAGCAGAAAGCGACCACCGTATTAAGCCTTCTTCCGCGCTGGATATTAAAGAAAGCGATCATCATAAGTCTTCGTTTTCCGCGTTCCGTTGGTTCCAGGGTCGCGTGGAGAATCAAGAGGTGAGTCGCGCTGGAGCCAAAAACTTAGCCCTCTTAGTGAACGGAGTAGCAGACTTAGGCTACTCTTTTGAACAAGAACCGGCGTTGTTCAAACGTATTTTGGAAGAAATGGGGGTCTCCAAGAGATGGGAGGACAATCATAGGGTACCCCTCGAACAACAACAAGGCACTTCAACAGGAGCGCAGCGCGTAAATGTTGCTGTGTGGTCACATGACGAAGAACTACAGAGGCCAACTTTCAATACTACAGAGATTGTATGCTTGGTCTATGGATTTGCGAGGATATTGGAAAGTCAATACCTACTCAGCAATTGCGCTTTTGCTGAGCAGGTTTGATAAGATCTAAATCATTGCTAAGAAAGTATTGGCTAGAACAGCGGTAGCTTAGTCCTTCTAGTTTTACCTTGCGCGAGGAACAGTAGCAGCACCCTCGAGCTGCGGGAGGTTTGGACAGAGCGCTTCAGTTGGCGCAGACAAGCGATGTGCCTGTCCTCGGATGTGAGCAGGTCAATGAATGCTGTTATCATAAAGATTCTGTGCATGTACAACTAGACCTCGGTAAATGAAAATATTGAATGAAGATGCTGGACGTCATAATCGGTGACCATAACTCAAGACTGGCCGTCTTTGTACTCTTGTCTGTTTCGACTGAAGCGAATGAGGGGCTCGTTCAATGTTTGTGCATAGCAGTATACCCTCAAAACAAGAGATTGCAGAAGTGGCACCAGAGAGTATGACTTTCCTAAATCATATGGGCCTATACTTACTTACAATATAATACTTACCTACAAAAAGAGTTGATTACATGATGAGTGCAAAAACAGAGTGGACCAAACTGCAAAATAGCTCGGACTCCAAGAAGATGAGTTGCTTATCTATCAGTTGCCTAAGAAAAATTCCTGAGGTGACGAATACTTGAATGGCTTCATCGAAGAGAACAATGTCACCGATGAGAGACGTCGCCAACGAATGCGTGGTCACTCCGCTTGAGGTTGCGCTCGCAGATCCAACCTGTTTCTTTTAATCGGGAGCAGGACCGACCGTTTCGTTCAATCGGGACTGTCACGAGTTTTTTTTTCGCATTGTGATCGGGGCTGTCACGAGTGCTACCATGGCTTCGCGTTTCCCTCCGAGTCGCTCTCCACCGAAGAAGAGACGGTTGCCTGCTGAGAGTCCGGCAGGTCGGGGTGGAGATGCGTCTCCGAGTAAGATCGAGTTAAGATGGCGGTCCAGAGTCACGCCCACAGATGAGGACGAGGATGCTGTTGTGCAAGGGAGAGGGACGTGGGACGGCTTGCCTGGGGCACCGGATGAGCGGGTTAGAGAATCGTCGAGTCGCGGTCGTGAGGCGCGTGCGCACCACTTTGCAGAAGGTGGGAGGACGTCGGGCAGCACCAGTAGACCTAGACAGGCATCCGTTTCTAGAAGTGGCTCCGACACAGCGGGACCGGGAGGGACTTCGAATGCGAAAAAGCGGCGTAAGTCAGAGCTACTGGAGAGTACGATCACGAGGCCGCGAGGAGGTGTCAGGTCGGGATACGATCTTCGAGATTCTGCAACTTCAGTGATCACTTCTAGCTATGGCAGACCAGGAGCGCAGCGAACTCAGCAATCCTCGGTTAGAAATCGCTCTACTTACCAACAGCAGCAGCACAATGAGTCTAATTACGGTCGAGAAGAATACGATTACGACCATTCGCATGATAACGACGATGACCCCACTGCTGTCAGGGAGCGCATGTTGGACGAGAGAGCTGCGGCTGCACGTGCTAGGAATGTGCTTGATGACGAGGATGCAGACGTGTTTGCCGCCTCTTTGCGAGCCGATGAGGCCGCACGCGAAAGTCGTAGGAAAAAACAGGCTTTGAAACGCAAAGCAGAGAAGATACTTCTAGGTGAGAAAGGGAGGGCTTTTGCTGGTCCAGAATATAGACTCGGTGCTGGTGGGAGAAGTCAAGAAGGCTCTCTTAGAAATAGAAGTAGGAACAATATAGGACGAACAGGCGCTGGAGCGGCATTTTTAGGTCCCTTAGGTGATCAAGCAGCACAACCACCACAACGATATGTTGATGGGATGTCATCGTCATCTGCGTCTTCCTTTCTTGTGGGGAAACAGCATCCTGCAGCCATGTCGTATAAGGAAGATTGGGCTGCGAGAATCACAGCGCAAACGCCTGAGTCATTACTGCGGAAAATAGGACATGCAGATAGTTCGCATAGTCGCCTACTAGTAGGAAAAGGCCCAGCGGGGTCGTCAACCTCGAGTCGGAATTTTGTGGGGCCACCTCGAGTCGGAAGCCGTGATGCTGGCCATGATACTAGTTCCCAGTTACTTCGGAACGCGGCATCGTCTTCCCGTGGTAGTAGTGTTGGAAGCGCGCACTCACTGACTTCGAAGGATAAAGAACCAACGTGGAGCCTTTTTCGAGCACAACAGCAACGGCTGCAAAGTCGTTGCAGAGAGGGGCTAAGACGAGACCGACAGGGGACTGTGGCGAGCCCTGATTTCGCGAAAGGTGGTGTAGAAATTGACCTGAAGAAACTAGTGTCGAAAAGAAAAAGAAGGAAGAAGAAATCTTCCAAACCACCGTCTTCCAAGATGCAGGAAGAATCATCATCTTTTCCACAACAAAATGTAATGAGGTTCTACAACGACGACAGTGCTGCAGTGGGCAGAGATCATCATCTGCGCAAGAGGGATGGCAGCAATACAGACGACTGGGAGACTCGTATCGAGCGAGGGCGCAGAAAGAGCTCTTTGATTCCGCAAGATCTTGAAGATATTATGCCCAGAACCAACGCAGTGCCACAGTGGAAGTTGCTGCAGCATGGCACCTTCGATGCGGACGGTGAACACGTTCCGCCTCCAGAAAAAGGTACCACGAATCTGAAGGTTGGTTTCAAACAGCGGACGAGACAGCGGTCTGCGCTCTTTACGGCTTTGGTTCTGAGTGGATAGTATTCTTTCCTTTGCGTTGCAATCAGAGCATTCTATTTCTATAATTGCTAGCTCCTTATTTTACTCCGTAGGGCTCACCTGATAGTACACCTACAACGTGTTAAAGACATGATCATGAATCACCGCAATGTTCACCGAAACAAGTTGTACAACTAATACTTCTGCAGAAGCCACTGGGACTGAAGGCGGGTCAGCATCCTTGGAGTCCGCGGAGTCAAGCGAAGCGGAGAACGACTCAGTAGTATTAGATAGGGCTTTTGAGAGTCTGCTGGATGATGTAGATGCTGCTGGAAGAGACCACCACTCTGGAGACACGAGAAGGAAAAACAATAGGAACAAAGTAGATACTAGTAAAAAAGCAGTAAAGTTTTCTTCAACTTCACCAGAACAGAGAAGACCCCGTGGACGATGGAGAGATGACGAGGATTTATCGAGTACTGGAACAGGAGAAGGCAGAAAACGATCAACCTCTATTGTAGGGACAACCGCCGCGAAGAAGGGGAAGGACGAGGTTGAAGACATCGGATTCGGAACAACAGCCCAGCGACCTCCGGCAGTTGTGCCATTACATGTCATGCGTCGGAACGGCAAAATTGAGACACTAAATCCTTCTGCAGCAGCAACAACAACAGGAGAAGCGCCTTTTCCCGTCTTTTCATCTTCCCCATCGAAGAGAAGACAAAAAGACTTGGATATGGATGTCTCCAAAGATTATGGCGATGCTGTGGCAGATACTTCTCATAATACTCAGATCATCTTCCCACGAGAATTTTCCATTTCTTCCATCCCTTCTCTCTAAAAAGCAGCATTCAAGAAGGCGTTTGGGAAAACTGATCCAGTCATGATGTTTTACGAGCAACAAGCGAGTTTTTCGGAGGATGAAGTAAAACCTGCTAAGCCACCACCACAGTTACGAGCTCCTCGGGGACCAGGATAGATTCTTGAAAAATAGTACTAGGAGGATAAATTGTTGAAGACTAGGACTCTCAGCTCGTCTTCCTCTACTTCGTCTTCCTGGTGATCCTGCCTATCTTCTAACCCACCCAAAAGTGATTCCAAACGCCAAGAAGCAGGAAAAGCGTGGAGATCAGCGCAAACGCAAGGGAGGCGCTTCGATGAATATTCAAATGGGCCAAGGCATTCAAAAACCAGCAGGAATGTCCCACCAAGAGTGGCAGGTTATCATGTTATGAATCATTTTTTTTCGTACTAGCATTGACAAATTAATGATTTATCGGTTTAGCTCTAGCTGGCATTGCACCACTATCCTTCTAACCATAGCAGAAATGGAGCGGGTCAAGTTGGAACAGCAAGCTGAAAACGAGGATGAAGAAGGCGACGAAGGAGAACCGGACGGTGGGGATGCGGATCGTACTAATTCTTCATCCTTGCCTGAATTTCTCTAATATTTATTGTGCACCATTGCTGTTATCGATCCTCTTGCTTCTAGAAAAAAGAGAGATTAATATGTGCTAGCTTCAATAGCGGAAACATGAGAAGTTTTATAGTGTGAGTTCTTGCTCAAGCTACATACCATATGAAACAGCCCTCGCTGGTGCTGAAGGCAAGAAAGGAGCAGCGGATGCGGAATATGAGAAGATTTTGCAGGCTGGTATACGTGGAAATGCTGCTACAAACGACGCCGCTGAACAGAAAGCCATTGAAAAGGGCTCCAAAGCGTTGGCCGGCAAAGACCGAGAGAAGGACATGGCACTCAGAGGCTTTCTTGCTGAAGATGCGCAGGGTGACGAAGAATTACTGCAGAGGCAGCGTGTTGCGGAGTCTTTGCTTCATGACAATCGACCACAGCAAGTATTAAGGCGTTATTTCTTAATGCATCCCCTGATCCTGAAGCCGTCCCCAAGGGAAGGAAGAAATAGATAAACATGCATTCATAATTAAAAGTGCTATACCCGTGAATGGGTACATCAATCAATCAATCGATCATCCCTTGTTATAATGTATCTTGAACTTGAAGCTGTCCCATAAGGGAAAAGACACTAGGGCCAAGAGGATGAATCTAAAGATAAATGCACTAGGGTGGTCCTAAAAGTAGTTCTAAAAGTAGTAGAGGATTCCTCAGATGAAGAGATGCTCGATGCGATGGCGTCAGTAAGGGAAGCTCAGAGACAGATGGGGTTGGACGTCGATGCCAGAGATACCTACGACATTCTGCAGGACAAGCTGATGATAAAAAAGGATTGGTGGTCGAAGTTGATGTTTTTATGAAAGGAGGATGTTAGCGAAGTACTTAACCTAAAAAGGTACCTTTGTATTGAGTGGCCTCAAAAGTAGATCTTAAACGCTCCATAAGAGGTTCCAGAGAGCATCGCATAGTCTAGGGACTGGTATGCTAGCCAGCGATAGACTCCATGACGATGACCTAAAAAGAGTGCTGCTTCGATGGGATATCAAAATCGAACTGGAGAGTACTTCTATCCTGCAGTTTCCTCTATTTTTTTTGAAAAATCACGAAGGAGGAAGACCCCTCTGCAGTTTCCTCTATCTCTCCTGTCTCCTTTCACTTTTTGAGCGCGAGAAAGAGCTGCGACGGAGAAGGCAGCCGGACTTTGTGCATCCTTTCCCGCGTGCATATGCGCTTACCAACAACATGAACTTCGAAATCGCTGTTGCTTGCCTGATGGTTCTCAACTTATGATTGTATTGGAGACGAGGTAATTTTTACTTGCATTTATGACCACGGTCTCTGGTGTCTACGGAGAAAACTCAAATGAGCTCTCGCAGCAGGAGTCCTAGTACATCCTACATCCTCATTCATCTAAACAACGGTGTCACACTAGCTATGGGCGCAGAGAAGCAGCCAGACGGGGTGATGCCTTGGTACCTGATTGTAGCGGAGCAATTTTTTACCTTCGTTTTCGTTGCGGAAGCGTTAGTGCGATACCTTGCGTTCGGGTGGCCTTGGTTATGAAGTAGGTTCAATCTTCGCTTTTATTTTTTAACAAAAAATGAAAAAAAAAAACCAAAACAATGTCTGGCTGGTGCACATGGACGAGAGATTGACCGACTCAGAGATGACACTGAACGAGCATCTTCAATGAGCTGGAATAATAAAGATTTTTTCTCAAAAGCACCATGTTGCTGCAGCGCTGTCCTGTATTCGGGACTGTTTCGTCTCATGTGAAACTTTTTTGACTATCTAAGGTTTACCCGCTTATTGTTATTCTCTCAAAAGCACTTATTGTTAGTTATTCTCAAAAGCACTGATTGTTATTCTCAAAAGCACTTATTGTTAGTTATTCTCAAAAGCACGAATAATTGGATTCTAATCAGGCTGATGGAGTTCTACAATTTTGCGGACGTGATGCTCATTTTCACCACTGGCGTGCTGGTGATGTGGATCTTGGAACCAGCTGGCATTCGTTCAGATTTCATCCGGAATTTCTCTATTTTGCGTCTCCTTCGATTGCTGAAGCTCTCACGCGCAGTTGCGGCAGTTGACGCTTTTGAACTGGTTTGGAGGATGTTGAGATGCGGGATGAAAACCGGGAAACTGCTATTGTGGGCCATTCTGGACGTCTGCTTCTTGGCCTTTGTGTTTGGGTATGGCATGGAGTTTTCGTTTTGCTTCCTGGATCTTGTTTTTATAGAACCGCATGTCCCGTAGTGAAGCGTGGCCCGTTGAACGCGCTGGGTTTCTCAATGCCGATCGAAAATCACCTCGTTCTTAAACACCTTGATTATATGTACTACTCCTCTCTTACCTGCTCCCTTCGACCCGTCCCCTCTTTCATACCGCAATCTTTTTCACCGTTTTAATTGGGAAAGATGCGAAGTTGGTGCATGACGATATTGTGCTTGATCTATTCGGGGATGTGCCTCGAGCCGCGATGACCTCGTTTCAGATAGGCACAAAGACACATTGGACAACGATGACAAGACACATACGCGAACTCGGCAACAATTGGTGTTTCACACTATCCCTGCTCTGCATGACGTCTATTTTATGGTGAAGGGTTGTAGTTGTAGTAGCAGCAGTAGTAGTGCTTTTATGACTGCACTACAGCTCGGTGGTTTTGTCGAGTGATCTAGACTTTGCTCGATATCAGTGTGTTGCTGAATCCTTTCCTGTCTTTCTCGTTTAGATAAGTACCCTGCGATGCTAATAGAGTACCGAGGACTGTAATTTTGTGAATAGATGCCCGATCAGTTCCCCCTCGTCCGCCTGACTTCTTTCATTTCGCAATTTCGTGCTTTTCAACCTCGTTACCGCCTCCGTGATTCAGAGTATGTTCAATGAGACTTCCTCCGATAAGGAGCGGAGGCAACGACTAGAAGAGCACAAGCGAGCCCAATACTGGCAGACGCTGGTGGGCATTTTCCATGCGTTGGATGAAGATGATTCAGGCGAAGTGACAGCGGAGGAGCTAGATTGGGCAATAAACAACAACAAAGCCTTGCAAAGAAAACTACAGGACATTGGGATGCATAAGGTGCAACTACTTAAGTAGAGATAGAGCACTTCTTTCTTGATAAAGTTGAAGGCTTTGAGCTTTTTATGACAACTTTTTTTTTGGAGAATGGGTAGTTTTTCTGGAATCTTTTCTAGGATTTTTTTTATTTTTGGCTTTTTCATACCTGCTGCTCTAAAAGTTGTACGAATTCCCCTGCTGCGAGATATGGCAGCACAAAGGTGATGAGTCGGATTATCTCGTATCTCAATTCACGACTTTTCAAATTCAAATTTTTGAATTTGAAATTCAAAAATTCGAAAATCATAAAATTTTTGATTTTATCTCGTTTTAATTGAATTCATTTCCTGAGAAGCTCCTTTCATCTGCAAAGAAAAACTGCGCAAAGCTCGAATCTGGTAGAAAATGACCTTGGCTTGGACATAGAAAATTTACTAACATTTGAGTATGAGCTTGTACACACCTTGGATTCCACGACGAACAAGAAGTTCTAGACATTCTATGTATTCTAGATTCCTTCATTATTGTTATTCAAATCCTCAAGAATTAGAATTCCAAACACAAATGAACAGGCAACGATGTCAGATTTATGGAATTTGCTGGATGTAAACGGAGATGGTGTGCTGGATTTAGACGAGTTTCTAGATGGCATTCGGCAAATGCATGGCTCCGCTAAGAGCTATAACATGATTCGCATCAACACACGGTGTAGTGGACTGACGAAGCGCTGTTTTAAACTAGGGGGATGGTTCATGGCGGTACTACACTTTCTTCGAAGGTTTTGGTTGATTACGTGTTTTTCACGTTACGTAGTAGAGTACACGACTTTAATATTCAGCAGGGTTGGTTTCCTCTGTTCTTCTGAGGAATCGGAAGTTGCTTATGCGTAAGAATTTTCTTGGATTTTCTCTCATCAAAATACAACTCCAGACTATCCCTGAGGCCAAACGCCTCGCCTGCGTTGTGGACCGCACGCACATGAAGATGATGGAAATTTTTACACTGATACGACCCCTAGAAAAGGCCTGCCTCAACATCGTGCGTCTTGCCACGGAAGAAACGCATATGCCGCAAGACAAGCACGGTTTACCCAGTCCTGATGATCTTAGTCGTCAGACAAGGCAAGACATGGACATGCAAGGGTGGTGAGCAGGAGTAGGGTGGATATTTACACCGGGTTCGGGATCGAGGGATTACGATTAAGCTAGTCAAACCGTTTATTTTTACTTGTTAGTGGGGGATGTAATTTACCATGGATTTTTTGCGATAGATTTATATATACAAACTTTTGCGATCGCTACCTAGTAAGAGAAATTAAAGAATCCAATGTCTATTCTCTGTTTCCTGTAGAGAGACTGTTTGTTTTCCGTCAACATGAAGAGCGTCAACATGTAGAGAGACTTTGTTTTCCACTTTTCGAATGAATTCTTAGAGTCGGACTTTTATTACCTAGTAGGAGCAGTAGCATGTACCAATCTCCGTATCGCTTTTTGATAAATCGTAGATAGACAGACTATCCACTTCGACCTTGATTAACCCCATAAGTGGCTTCAAAGTTCATTGTTTCGTATTTTCTGCAAGATCCTGATATCACAAGATTTCGTTTCTGCGTTGACCTAGATCTTCGTATCATCTTGGCGACTTGTCAGTTTCTATCACATCTACATGTACCTATCTTGACCTTGTTGGGGTGAGGGGGAGGTAAGTCGGGCGTAATATTGTAACAGTTAGGCATCTTCACATTCGTTTCGCTATACTTGCAAAAGTAGACTGAACATCGTGAATCGCGTAGATATGCCATTTGGTGAGTCCATGAACTACATGTTGTTGGGGTCTAATTTCCGCAAAGAACTGCCGTTGTTATCTTGAAGCCACAACGACCGAGGTGGACACTGCGGCATTTTCGAGGCACAACCACGAGTGTGGCTTCTTTCGTACCCAAAACTCGTAAACGAAAATGGTTAGAACATCCAAGTATGATGACGAAAAGTGGTAGATCGTGCTCGGTTGGTAGAAGCCTCATTTGACAAAACTGGTACTATTCGATAACTTGTGATTGTTTTACTTGTAGTTACACGAGAAAATGGCGTCTACCTCTCCGCGCTGTGATACAAAACAGCGCAGCTTAATAAAGCCAACGACGAGGGCGACGTACCTCAGAGTCGGCATTTTCGCACTGATGAGTATCGCCTCCCTTACCTGCCAATGTCAAGCAAGCTATAAGCAGCGTTTGAACTCGCTCTTTGGGGATATAGCGGAACAACTGCGGACTGTAGAGAAAAACGTAGAAGAAGCTGCACGCGCGATGGCGGAAACAAGGATGTTAAGGTTGTTGTAGATGGTAGTGCTACTGTCGATTTTAGGAGATTGGAATCCAAGGGTACTAGCATCGTCCGTTAGTACGCTCGATACCGACTGCATCCATTCTCGTACGTTTTCTCTTCTCCAATTTTTTCCGCCAAAGTAGCAGAGCATGAGCTACAGAACAGCGTGATAGTTTCCGATACCGATTCGCTTTACGATATTTGGGATACCTCGAGGCAACGCACCCTTGGTTATCTCGCCTCCCTGGAAGGGAGTAATTATGCAGTAACACGGTATACGAATGTTGTAGAGCCTCAAGAACGACGGTGAGGCATTACTTCAGTAAAATAGTCCATTCCCATCCGTGCTAGGCATCATACCCAAGAAGCGCAAGCGCTTTACAATCCCCTTGAAATGATGTAGAAGTTTTTACACTTACAGAACAGCTCTAAGTTAAAGGAGAGCCCTCTACACGAGGGTGGTGGACTCGGGAGGATTCTGATTCTTTGCAGGGTACTACAGATTGGGAGGAGATTGCGAATACGGCTGATGGCGCCTTCAAGAACTGGTGGCAGACACGATTAAGGCTACAAGAAATCCATCTTCACAGGCATCGCCATCCCGTTTTTAAAGGGAAAAGGGGGCCCAAGATGCTTCTTCTGTCTCTTGGTTCTAACACGAGAAGAAGAAAATATGGAGCAGGGGGGAGAGGAGGAGGAAAGAGCGAATGTGTCTCCGTTGCGCAGACCGGAAAGCGATACTGGTGGAGCAGATCGTGAGGGCAAGAACGTTATGCGGGAGGAACATATTGCACCTCCGAAGCAGCAATGGCAAGGAGCGAAAGATGGTGTCGCTCCTTCTGATCAGCAAGAGCCCTCAACGACATTAGAGATGAAACACCATAGGATAAGGGACGCGAGATATCATGACGGTGCACGAGAAAGGCTGTCAAGAGACACAGGGCACGTCGAGGACATGTAATGATTGTCACATACAATTACTTCTCATTTCGTTTGAAGTAGAGGCTTCCTTGATATTTTATGGCTCAACGTGCACCCTCTCCCTCAAGAATTGTCGACGAGGCAATCTGGCTACCTGAGAGCGAAAAAAGCCTGTTGGGAACTGTGGCAAGCCGTCTGAACTCAAGTGTTTTTTGGGCGTCTGAATGTGCTGGGCCCGTCGGTATTGCCGGAAGTCATCTTGTCGGAAGAGTCGTTTAGATGGAAGCGGAGACTGTCGATGATCGGTACTAGGAACAAATGTTGTGGCACTTGAGTACTATGGTCATCGGTAGTACCCGCAGATGCGTATAACTGTTCTGGTATAACCTCGTATAACCACTGTTGTGTCCTTTTCTGTTCTTGTATGAGAGATGCTGGGTTTGATGAACCCTCTTCGGATGTTGCCTTTACGACAATTGTCCCCGCCTACCTGCACCCATCTCACCACCCGATACTCATGTTAGAGGCTCTCCCCCTTTTTGTGTTACAGTAAATTCTCTTCCAATTTCAATTGATACTTCATCACCTTTCCATCCTTATTCCGCTACCTGCTTTCACACTTCACATATACTTGCATTTTACTACCACACCAGCTAGGCTCAGAACCAAGTAGTACTAGTTGTAGTACAAATTGCTACCACTAGCTACGACTGCAACCCTTCACAGAACAAGAGATGGCGTCATCTAGCGGTGGGGCACCGGGCGACGATGGGTCGTTGGGGAACTATAAGGGCGTCATGCTCTGCAACAGGCCTGGCATCGGCGATCCTGGCGCAGAGGAGGTTAGACCTTTCATCCCGTCACACCGGCAATCACCATTCGGAGTGCCACCACCGTATACCTACGAACGCAAGAGTTTGGTGGCGATAAAGATTATGACACTGATGAAGGATAGTTTTATTCAGGATAGAAGTTTTAGTTGTTACAACCTGTGATTTTTGAAAAGTTCCGTTTATTTTGCTTACTAGAATAGACCTTATCATTGTCTTTCCTCTGTTGGCGGGTTTCTTAACTGACTGACTTAACTTTTCCCCTCTTCTCTGTCTCCTCTCTGACCCTTTCCCCTCTTCTCTGTCTCCTCTCTGGCCCTTTCCCCTCTTCATATCAGAGGGTGTCGAAGACAAAGATTTGACGAAGGAGAAGAACGTAGTGAAGGAGCGGCACTTGGCGTGGCTCAAAAGCCTGGAACAAAAGGGGAAAAGCGCGGCTGAAGAGAGGAGCAATGAGGCGACCAAGAAGACCGAACGCAATGAAAGGCTCAAGGTACTGTACGCCTAGTGGGCTACAAGATACATAGATGTAGATCTACTTGAACGTTCTTGTAGGATTCTTTATTCACACTAGATCTAGTACTACTAGATCTCTAACTCTAACGTCACATAGGATCTTGTTCTTGTAAGTATTCACTTTCACATGATATCTTACTGTTGATCAGCATTTTTTTATGTACCGAAAAGAACTTCGCGCAAAACCGTACTTTGACTCACACTCCCAACTCCAGGTGCTCGCAGACCGCTACAGAGAAGACGTTCGAGAGATGATGGAACAGGCTAGAACTGCTAAGAAGCAGCAGAAGTCAATCGGCAAGAGGAGTGTCCCACGATGGGTCAAAGAAAGATGGGATAATAGGATATGTATTGTACTTTTCTGTTTTTGAATGAGCCTGATGATGCTATGCAGTGTACTCACTTACTTAGTTGTGTTACTTCCTCTGCCGAAACAAAACAGTGAGTATTGGCATCATCCTCGTCCTCTCTCATCTCACCATAATGTCACTCTCTTCTTGCACTCATCACTATCGCAAAAACCAAACTCACAAAACCAACATAACATCAGTTGAAGAAGCTCTGAGCTTGACACGACAAGACAGTGCCGGGAAAGCTGCAAACCCGCAGGAAGACGAGGACTTCCCAGAGAACGCGGAGGAACTAGTAGAATTTGCTTCTGGCTTGAATTTCGAGACCTTTATTGACGACTTGGAGTTTCGAGAAGCTTTGGTTATGGCTATAGTTTATAGAGGGACAGTACAAAGTCAGTGCAGCATCCTTCATCCGCTTCAGTAACTAAACTGCATTCTACTCTAGGGAATTCTAAGTTGTACAGCATAAACGAGAGACTCTTTTTCGTTTATTGTTCGCCCGTACTTGAAAAACTTTGATCAGGACGAGGAGCTAGAAAAAAAAAACTAAAATTTGAGTAAAGAGCGCGTTCTTGGGTACTTAAGTTGTTAAATGCTTCTAATCTACGCGCTGTCCGGGATCGCGCAAAGAAGCTAGAGCGTGAGGAAACCCTATTCCGGATGAACGTAGCCGAATTGGTGAAGGAAACGTCTGATGGCGGAGGTGGCGGAGCAGGCGGACAACAAGAGTTTATGATGTTGAGCCATGTATGAGAATTATTTAGGCATGTTGATTGAAGATGTCAGTGTATTCAGACTAAGGACTTACTACAACTGCAACTTTGACTTCTAGAAAGAGTGCTGTGTGTTTAAGAATAAGGAAAGCAACTCCTGCACATCTAGGAAGTAGGAGAAAAAGAACAATTGTAGCATGCACTACTATTTAAATGGTCCTGCCTCTATTGTCTTTCCTTCATTCCCACCGTAGTCGATGAGGAGATGGAGATCTTGCGGAGAAAGGAAAAGTACGTACCGAAAATGCCAGCTGGACTAGCGGAAAACTATTGGGGTACGGCCATCGTCGAGGAGGATGCGGAGTCCGAGGGCGTAGCTCAACTAGTGTCGGATGTGATGTTATGCGGACAGGAAAAGGACTAGATCGAAAGTGAATTGATGAGGGCGATACTTGATGAGATGCGTTGCTTTTTGATGAGGTTTTCAAAGTTATAGCAGCAAACAACAATGTTCAGAAGTAGCTCGTGTTCCTATTATTTGCTATTGACATTTGCTATTTACACTAGCCCCCTGGAGAGGTTCCCCAGGGAGAGAAGTCGAAGGGAAGACGAGGCACTCGCTAGAAGATCAGATGGCACGTAAAGAAGCTAACTTTCAAAATTCATGCCCTAACTTTCAAAATTCATGTCCTAACTTTCAAAATTCATGCCCTAACTTTCAAAATTCATCTCCTAACTTTCAAAATTC